CCGGCCACCAACCCCCGTAACCTCAACATCTCACTTTATGTGTAAACGACATTATCAGAGTGAGCGAAAAGAGAAATTTCGCTTACCTAGGTGAAAAATAGGATTTTTTGCATTTTTTCTGGAGGAAATGTTAGTTAAGTGTTTATTACTTTAGGTGTTACTATATGGTGTTACTGTGAGAGCGATCAGTTAAGGGCTATAGAGGCGGGGTGTGTGGGGTGGGCGTGTTGTCAGGGGTCGCTAGAGGATATTATTAAGTTGTTTTGCTGCACCTCGTGGTAAATATTATCATCTTTGTGCAAAATGTACTAATTTTGATATGATGACATCACCTTCGATAACCCTACAGGAGTCCCAGACGGTTGATTCATTGTACACCTAGTTAAAGAAAATCAGAAAACAATAGAATTAAATAGAAATAAAAGTAATATCCTAATCCCTTCACAAAGAATAATTAATGCAGCATAATAATATTTCATAAATTATCAGCCACGGATGGTGGCCCACAAACAACGTGGCCCGCCCAGAGACACCATGGCGGAGGCCTGTCCCCAGGACAAGGGAGGGTTACCAGCTCTCATATCCTTCCTGCCCGTTCCGCCATTTCCCTCCCTGGTCCATCTCGCAAAAACGCTTTGTTGTAGATATATTTGCGCGACCGACTGGTTAATCTTTAGTTTAATAAATATGCACAGACGCACAAGTCATTTTCGTTGTGCTGGCAGTGAAATGTTTGTTTGTTTGGTGGGGCACTGGGTGACATGATTCTTTGTTTCAACTAAAATGTGTAAAATTCCACAGCTGATATTTCATCTCCATCCTTGAGAGGAAAACCTTGGAGTACCCATAGTACCGGCCCTATTGCCGTGTTGTGTTTTTTTTCGTATTTCTTTTGTATCCACAGTCGTCCCTACTGAAATTTACTAGGAAATGCTTATTTTAATTAATATAATTGTATTTTATAATTATGGTGAACGCATCCCAATCAAATTGGTTTCAAGAGTTTTCACTGTAGTGAACGCCATACAAAGTATACAAAATATCCCATTATTATTAACTGCTATAATGAACACAGTGCGTTTGCTCAGTGCGAGTTGGTCTTTGAACAAAAATCGTGAAAGTGGGAGAACAGGCCTAACAGTATGTATAACAAAAGACACTCAACAGATGTACCACGTTTGATACTGTTCTGTGACCGACACATCTGTACGTACATCTGTAACACATGCTCGGACATCTGTGTGTGCGTGTGTGCGTTTCAAGTGTGTTTATGCAATAGTCCTTTAATACTTACTTCAAGCTGCGCAAAACATGTGTACTACTAACACTAGTTCATGATTTAATCGCTGCATTTTGAAAAAAAAAGTTTCTTAATAAGGAAACGTATATCTGAAAAGTTTCTCATGAAATGCATGAGAAGTGAACTGTAGGATGAAGCCCTACACAAGATGGTATAGTAGCAGGAAAATCGCAATGTTCATTTAGAAGAAAAGAATATTGGTATTCTTGGTAAAAGCAAAAATTGGAATAACGGCAAGAAATGATAATAAGACCGTAACACCATTAGCAGGGGGATGGGGAGAGGAAAAGGCATTGTAAACATGGCTTTTCCTCCCGCCCGGGTACGGACGGTGGTAAACAGACCGGATGGTGATTGACGAATTTTAAAATACATTCTTAAAACAATAGGAAATATAGTACATAGCAGAAATGCCTAAAAAAATAATAACAGGATGACTTAAATAAATATGTAGATCACCCAATCGCTAATTGTCTGTGAATATTAATGATGACGGATAAGAAGAGCGAATTGACGCAAAATGTGCGTCGGGCGTGCAGTGCGTCTCACCTATCCATCAAGTGCGACGTAATTTTCCATAGAGATATATATTCTGAGTTTATATATACTCATGATAATGATACGTACTGTATCCAAGGTGCGCATTATTTGCATACCAAATAGTTATTCTAAGACTAACGATATTGCTTATCCAATAATACTACGTGCATATTTCAGTACAGATCCAACAGAATAACTCAGCAGATATACAATGGCCTACCAATTAATGATACCCGTTAGTCAATATACCTGTATGCGCTGTACATCTGTAATCTATGATTATGGAGTGTAAAGTATGTACATGCGTATGAAGTGTGTAGTTGGGCGTGAAACCTTTGTTCTTTCTCGTTTCCAAAAGTAATTTTCTCTCCTCCTCCTCCTCTTCAGTCCCTCTTTCCTTTCCAAATATTCAGTCTCTCATTCATTCTTAATGTTTACTTGTATTGTTCGTGCATTTTCTCTTCAGTTATGCACAAGTCTTTTTAGGATAACATTCGTAGCTTACTCTCCTTATTACTAAGAGGAGTTAAAGCTTTCATATTAGATGTACAATACACTGGAATACATGAAAGGTGCGCAGTGGGGTGGGCCCTGCTTCTTCTTGTAAGTAGATAGGCACACAAAATTCATGGATAGTCACGTAGTAGCCATTCTGAACAGCAGTCATAGTGTTACCAGCTCTATTGTGTCATTGTTAATTAAAGTGCTGACAATGGTAAAAGGTGAATATATAAAGAATAATTGGAATGGCGAGGGAGAGTGTTGACGATAGCAAGACATGAAAATAAAGGTAACAGTGAAGTGATATATTTGTCTGAATATGTATTATGCTAGATATAATATAACAGTAATCAACACGCAGCATAAGACTTATTAAGAACTTATAAGGAACGTGACTCACTTCCCCCCTCCCCCCCTTCCACTAATCTACGACCGCTACTGACGAATGAGTTCCCACCCTCTCGGGCTAATGCCGGAGGGCACAGGCCTATTGCCAATTGGTGTAAATGAGTTAGGTGTAAAGTCTTGAGATGGTTCCTTTCCGGAACCCTTAAATACGACGATAATTATAATGATACTGGGGGAAATATAACGAGAGGGGAGGTAACCACGGCTTGGTAACTATGGTAAGAAAAATGTGAATTCAGCAGTACTCGGTACAAATGGAATCTGTAATATCATCCCGAACAAACATTCACACGCACAAACACAACACTCTCTCTCTCGCTCTTACTTGCTTTCCTTCTTTCCCTTTCTCTCTGTCTATGTCTGTCTATGTCTCTCTCTCTCTCTCTCTCTCTCTCTCTCTCTCTCTCTCTCTCTCTCTCTCTCTCTCTCTCTCTCTCTCTCTCTCTCTCTCTCTTTCTCTCTCTCTCTTCCTTACTTTCTCTCTCTCTTTCTCTCTCTCTCTCTCTCTCTCTCTCTCTCTCTCTCTCTCTCTCTCTCTCTCTCTCTCTCTCTCTCTCTCTCTCTCTCTCTCTCTCGCATATATGTATATATATATATGTATGTGTGTGTGTGTGTGTGTGTGTCTATATGTATATAAATGTATATGTACACATAAATATATTCGCACACACATATATATATATGTATATATATATATATATATATATATATATATATATATATATATATACATATACACACACACACACACACGCACACACACAATATATATATATATATATATATATATATATATATATATATATATATATATATATATAAACACACAAACTCACACACACACACACACACACACACACACACACACACACACACACACACACACACACACACACACACAAGAAAGAGAGAGAGAGAGAGAAATACAGATGTGAATCCGTACAAATATAAATCACTATATTCATCCGCAACTTTTTTCCTCTACAGAAGCCCCGCCCACATCGTGTTACCAGCCCGTCTACTTTGCCACCCGCAAGTAAACACGATTTTATTTTTCCACTTTTTTCTCAGTTCGTGTCCCCTCTCTGTGGTGGCCTTCCGTTGTTCCTGATCTAGTGTTCTTATCCTCTTGTGACTGACAGCAGGGTAATGGAAAATGTATACTTATATTTTTTGAGGTTTTAAAGTAGATTATCATTTATAGGCTCGTACATACACACACAGACATTATACTATATGCATCTAAATATGCATATATGCAGTATATATTTATATGTAAGTTTATAGCAAACGTTAATCGTAAAACAAAACGTTAAACGTAAACAAAATTACTTCTTTTGGGTTTTGTTTTGTTAAATATGATCCATCTACAGAATATTAACTTTTATATTGCACCAAAATTATTCTGCCAATCCTATACATCACAGTAATTAACGTAGGGACTTTGACAATACTCTACATACAGTGATACACGTATTATTGCCGAATTATACTTAAAAAAAATACTACATCAGATGTGGTAATTAACATGTACATTCATTATCTATCTCCAGGACAGGTTTCTGTAACTACTGCAAGGGGCCACTGACATCTTGGAAAAAAATATTTAACTTGCAACACCACCTTTCTTGAAGCTCCTTTGAAGTCTTATATACATTTTTTTTCTGGATTCACTGATTGAATTTCTAAAATTCATACGGTCAACTTGTTACTTGATATTTGCAACCACAAAAGTGGACTTTCGTAGTTGCAACAATGGTCCGCACTGTGCCAGTGGTAAAATGGTAGGATATGTTAAAATAAAGCCATCGGCGCTTTGAGAATATTTTTGTTATTAAAATTGTTAACCTGAGTTGCACAAAAAATCACGCATGTTTGATTTTTTTCAAGAAATCATCTAATGATTCTTGTTTAGTTATTCTAACATTTCTAAATTCGGACTTTCTTTACGTCGGGCCAAACCATCATATTTGGCAAATTGGACAGGCAATACCCATTTATTATGTATCTCCACTATATTTTTCATTTCAATATAATCTCATTTCAGTTATTGTAAGACTCTGTCTAAGATTACTTTTAAGAGTTTCTTTAGTGAAAACACGATGAATAATACCGTATATGCAATACTTTCAGATTGTTAATTTGTTTGAAATATTTTCCCACGTGTGTTTAAAAGAATAAGGAGAACACTCCCTTGTCTGTTGATGTTTTATAATTTGTACGCTGGAAGATGAATACCGGAATTCCACAA